AGTCTCCTAAATAAAATAGATTCAGAGTAAGAGAAAATTTTAAATAAATGTAAATGTCACTAGCACAAATCACGATGGACTCTACTATTGCAACAGTGCTTCCTTTTCTTTAATGGTGATATTCAAAAGTTATGCAATATAAATTACTCATTCTGATTCTACAATGATTCTGAATTGTTAAATTTTATGGTGTGAATTAATATACAAATATCACGTGTATAGAATAGGCTTGATTCGATTCACGAAATTGATAATAGTTTGATGTAAGAATTTGAAATAAAAACTAAACAACATAACAGAATGTTGGCTCTAATACCAATTGTGAGAATTAAAATAATTTTAATTCAGAAAGAAGAATAGGTCCTGCCATGATGTTCAAGCCTTTGAATCTTTATCATTGAATGATCAAATCTTGAATGTATAAAGAAGCACACTAACATAACACTTTTACAGAACCAGGAAAAGTGAAAGGGACAGAGTTTTAAGTCTATTCTATTCACAAAATAACGTCTGTATTTGATGGCTATCACAGGCATATATATAGATAGGCTTCGACCCATATCCAAGTGTAACTCCTTATAACTTCCCACCATCAGGGAAGTTGTAAAGTCCCATAAAATCACCATATGAGATAGTGAACAGACATTAGTTACCCATTAGTCATTAAACCAATTAATTAGTCATTAAACCAATTAAATATATATAATAAATACAAAAAACATATAGTATATGGGCCACTTTATGGATATTCTTATAAAAGTGACTTAGTGGAAGACATGAAGGGATATGTGGCATTATGGGAATGGAGGTGAAAGAGTGGGTATTTTAGGTGGTTATTGGGTAGTTATTGCTGAAAGTTTTTTCCTATAAATAGCCATTGATGGCTACATTTACAGGGACCCCAGAACCAGATTCAGAAACCAGTTTATTTACTTTATATTTTCCTTCCGAGCCTTTACTTTCCTGCACTTCATTTCAATTTCTTAGGAGTAGTTCGAAGTTAGTCTATTCGTTGTTGTAATTCCCTTCGAAGCTGTGAAAGTGTGAAGGTACTACTATAAACATTTATTTACTTAATGAAATTTAATATCTGACACTGTTCTCTCCCTCCTTCTTTTACTTTTGATAAATACTTCTGAATTTTCTCCTAAAACAAGCTACTAGTAAAAGTCATCTTCATTAAAGCTAAGAGAATTTCGAAGCAATTGTCTGATTAATTGGTTGGTATTTATTATTTCTGTAAGGACTTACTGATTCTTGTTGGTACGCTCTGGTTATATTTCTAACCTGCGAAAGTCAAAAAAGTCAACATAATCAAAGCATAAAAGAGAAAAAAAAAATAACACAAAGTGTTAATGTGATTCAGGTCTTGGCCTACGTCTACACACACAAAGTCCTATGGATTACATCTCTTATTCACTCAATATTTTTGTTTATATTTTTTTTATAAGTAAAAGAGAAAATTTTATTAATTGTAAAAAAGGTACAAAATACATAACATATATCAATAAAGCAAAGAGGGGCAAAAAGTATCAAAGTTAACTTAGGTAATCCCATCTGAATTAGCACCATATCGAAAGTACAACCATTTGCTAACTTCCACCCAAATTGATAAGAAACCAACCAAGCTGGAACAAAAAGAAGAACAAAAGGCCAAAACAGCAACCCAAGCAAGCACCAAAAATATATAGTAACCTCTATAACCAGCCATTGGCTTGCACACCAATGGTCAACATCAGCCCACAATCAAGCAATCCACAAACAATCCAACATATAACTTTCATTCCACAAAGACTCAGTCTCTAAAAAGTGTGAGGTTCTCGTTAAGTGTGCAGTTCTTTTTTTTTTTTAAGCTTCTTTGAAATCCTCAAATATGTATAGACAAAAGGGGCTAACCTCTTTTTTTGATTTTATTTTGACTTTTGAAGAAATTTTGGATATTTGCCCAACAAAAGAATTATGTGAGAATTTATTTAACCAAATAAGTTCCACCTTTTTTTGTACATCAAAAACTAAACCAAACATATTTACAATTTATTTTAAATATTTTAAACTAAAAATCTAAAAAAAAAAAAAAACTATAATCATAAAAGTTAACTTGTAAGTGATACCAAACGAGACAAAAATCCAAGACGCGTAAAATTTGTGTAAAAAATTAGGTACTTGTATATCTTTACTCAAACTTTATGATATCTTAAAAGAGTCCTGCTATAATCACACACTTTCTTAACGACATTTCTTATAACTTATTCATAATGAGAGTAAGTCCACTTTCATTGTAGTTTGACGCTAAGAAATATTGTTAAAAAGTGTGCGACTATAATTTTATTCAAGTTTTACTTTTCTCATGTTGGGGATCTAACTTGAGAAAGCATTTGGACTTAGTGAACCCATAAGCCTAATCTCGGTGATCCAAACCGTTCACTTTCTAGAACTCATTGAGAAGAATAATTATATAAAAAATCAAGATGATTGAATTTCGGTAACTATATATTTGGATCACATTTGCCTTTTAAAAATGGACAGTTATTCTTGAAATTATATTTGTCATCCATTTTTTTAAGACAAATATGATTGAAACATATAGTTACCAAAATTCAATCATTTTAATTTTTTAATTGAATATTTTCTCAACAAGCACTAAATATGAACAATTTGAATTATCGAGATTGGCTCACAATGTGTTCACTAAGCTCAAATATTCTTTCAAGTTAAATTATGAGAAAAGTCATCCATTTTACTCATCCTAAAATTGTTGAAACTTTTCGGTCAGCTTGCAGAAATTGACTTTTGTATCTCCTCCGGCTTTGGAGTGATTGTTGTAGGTTAGGTCCACGACCAGAGGGATGGTAATCAGTACATCTTCACCTTCTCTTAATGAAACCGTGTTAGAGAAAGACTTGAAGAGATCAATTCTTTTTTTTATTTGTTTTTGCGTATATTGTACTTTTTACCAATAAACCGTGTGAGAATCGAACAGAAATTTCAAAAAAAAAAAAACACAGACTTATTCAAACTAGAATCTACAGAGAGAGATTAAGAGAAACATGTGTGTATATGAAATATATGGATTGAGTCCTCCCTCTCTCAACTCATGTAAATTTATTAACCACCCAAAGACATACGCGCATGTGAGTCGTTTCGCTGTTTTGGACACGGTCTTCACACTGGCCATATTTATATGAAGTCGGTGTTACAAGTCTCTCAACACCAAAAACTTGTACTATTCACTTTTTTTGCAACCGTACCACCTTTTTAGCAGCCACGTAACAATGAATGTACTGCCCCAAACACAATCACAACTACCACCACTGCAGTCTCAGCGGCTGCAGCCAACTAGAAGGTGGTTTGGACAACGGCCACCCCCACCCAACAACAGCGGCACTGCACCACGATGGGTGCCGGTAAGAGGCCGAGTTCTGAAGAAAATTCTCAAAAAGGCCTTTTCATCATGTCTTTGTCTCCCAACAAGTTCGGCTGTAGTTTCCCCTGAATCTGATTCCTCTGCTATTGCTACTACTTCATCATTGTGATCCGTCTGGCTTTTTACTCAAAAGTTTTAACATTATTCATCTGCTCCTACTAATTAAACTAGTATGTCACTAATGTTAACCTTGAAGATCTTCTCTTTTTTCTAAAATGCGGGGTGGATGCAAATGGATTTCACTTCCTCCCTTGGAGGTCTTCTCCTCTTCTTTCTCATAGTTGCGAACTCAAGAGTCTTATGTAATATTAGCTGAACTGATTTTATTTTATTTTTTTTGGATCTTCATTTCAAATTTTGATAATCTTTTAGTTCTGATGGATTTCCTTCGATCATGAGCAGCTTGAATACTGCACATTTTGCCTGTCATTTTCATATTAATTTGGGTTGCTAACGTGCAACTTTTATGTTGTGTTTGGTTGGAAGATTTGGAGAGGGATTTGAAAAGGGAAATGGAAAAGATAGGTAAAATGTGAATAAAACATGTTTATATTTCACATAATTTCACACATCTTTTCCCTTTCCCTTTCCAAATCCCTCCTCAAATCACCAAACCAAACACAGCATTAACGTTTAGTCAAAATAACTTCAAACAGGAACCCCTTTCTTTCTCTCTCTCTCTCTCTCAAAAGACTTTCCCCTCCCAAAATATATATATATATATATATATACCTACATAATTGTATGAGTTATCACATTTGTAAATTTCATTATTACAAATATCATAACTCAATCGTATAAAAGTCATAATTCAAAAAAAAAATTATAACCGAACATTACATAAGTTATAATCAAATAACTCTTAAATTATAACCAAAATAATTTTATAATCAATATCACAATAATTCATAACTAACATTACAATAAGTCAAAACCAAATATCACAAAATCGTAATTAAACTCTAAATTTTTTTTCTTTTAAAATTATTCATGAAAATCGCAAGGATCCTTCACACGTGAGAATTGGAATATCAGCACAACGATTTTTCTTAAGTTATGCCATAATGATTTTTCTTTTTGCTTTTCCTTATTTCATAAAGAACTAATAACAACCATGAGGTCAATTAAATTTGTAGCTTACTTCGTTTTTCAATCCAGAAGTTGATTTGCTCTGAGTACTAAGATATGAATGTCATAAATAAATTAAACAAATATTTCTTAAGCCATGGCAACATCTTCTCACCTCTTACGCCTCGTTTGACGGTTCATTGTTTGTCTAAAAGTTAAAAAGTTACTAAAAAAATTAAAAAAACTAACAATCTATACCAAAAAATCAAAGATTTGCTTTTCTCTCTACCTTTTACACATCTTTTTGTAAAAAATTAAAAAATCATTCTAAACATACCAATTTTTTTTATCTCATATTTTAACCAAAAAAATTAAAAAGTTACTAAAATAGTGTTCATCTGAAAAATAAAAAAAGTTTGTCATCTAGTACAAGATCTCGTGAATAAGCTTAAGATACACACAATCACCAATAAAGCACTAACGATTTTGCACCCGTGAGAGTCAAACATGAGACCTCCAAGAATTACCACGTAGCAAAATTCAATGAGCACATAGCAAAGACAATGAATAAATGCTCCACCTATATCCAAAGGATTCACTGTTGAACAACAAGTATTTATGCTGTGTTTCGATCTTGTATTTGTGAAGTGAAATACCAGATCCAAACCATGGGACTAGAAAAAAATGCATCGCTACAAACTGCACTGGCATAACCTGTCCACATCACATCCATCCTATAATCAAATATCAATAACCTAAATCTACTTCTCCATATTCTCCAACTATACTCCCCATCACAGCTCAAATTATAGTTTCCTTTCTTTTTCTCTTTTCCTTTCTTATGTTGTCCTGTGATTAAATGATTACAAGACGCATATGCGACTGAAAACTAAAAAGAATGACAGCATCCCTGAAACCCTCCATATCCATTGAGCTGCAAGGAAGGATGCGAACTGTTGTGACATAGTGCACCAAGCTGGAGAAGAAACAGTTAAGAAAAATGACGGTTCAAACCTTTGATTAATGAGAATCAGTTAAAAAATAGAGCTGAAGCTTTCAATGGGATCAGATTCATTGAGCATGGAGGCTGCCTGGAAGCAGTCTATTGCATCACCTATCCGCCCATCATCTCTGTGAACCAATCCCAAATAATACCAAGCCATGTGATTCGGTTGTATCCTCAATGCATCTGAGAGTATGCTCCTTGCCGCCGGCAAGACCTTTGAGCCCATCTTTGACAATACTGCACCAATCAAGACCTTGCAAGGCACATAACCTGGTTCTAGTAAAAGCGCATTTATATAAGCAGCCAAAGCTTCGTTGATTTTTCCCCGTTCTTCGCATATAATACCTAACACAATCACAAAGAAAAATCAGAACTTTCATGTTCCCTTTGAATTAGAAATGATATTTTTGTTACGATGCAAGATGGATCATGTATGATATAACATACCTGCTTATACTAAATACTTCGTAGGCAAATATCTTCCAACATTCACTAATCCACATTCGCAATTTTTTTGAGGAACCAACTTCATTCCATGATCTATCACACACAATAACTTGGTACTATGTGGCTATACTTCCACGTTTTAATGATTATGGAGATGCATTTTACATGCATAGAAGTCAGTTTTCCACAAATATAATCATTAGCATCCTCCCTCAAGCTGGTACATATATATCATACGCACTAAACTTGTTACAAATGTACCGCACATAGAACTACACAAAGGTTTGGTGAATAAATCTACCAACTAATCTACTGACTTTACATGATTTGCACAAATCACATTCTGTGACAACTTCTCTCTAACAAAATAACTATCAACCTCAATGTGTTTTGGTCTTTCATGAAACACCAGATTGGAGGCAATGTGAACTGGTGCTTGGTTATCACATAACAAATTCATAAGATGATGATGCTTAGACCTAGGGCTGCAAATAAATTGAACTGTCCATGAACAAACTCGGCTCCGCTCGACTCGTTTAGTAAATGAGCCGAACTAGAGCTCGAATAAGTTCAGCTCGTTTATCTTTATTTAAATTATATAATAAATATATTATTTATATATTAAATAATATATAAATATATATAAATAATAGTAAAAATACATTATTTATATATTAGATAATATTAATAATATTTTTTTTTAAATAATATTTAAAAAAGTCTTATTGAGTTGAGCCTAGCTCGAGTTTTAGTAATATTAACGAGCCGAGCCGAGCCGAGCTCGAGCTCGAGCCCAAGCCCAATCCCAATTATTTATCAAGCTGCGTTCGAGCTCAATAAACGAGCTCGATAATCAAATGAGCCGAGCTCGAGCTCAGCAAAGCTCGGCTCGGTTCGTTTGCAGCCCTACTTAGACCCAAGTTGCTATAAAATACACTTCAACTTGATCAACTCAGAAGTAGTATACGCCGTAGCTCCATATTCAAACTCAGTACTTGACAGGCAACAACCATTTGTTTCCAACTTTTTCCGGACACCAAATTACCTCCAACAAAAACACAATAGCCATTAGTTAACCTCCTATCATATGGAAATCCATCCCAATCTGCATCAGTATGACCCTCGATCTAATTATGACCGTGATTCTGGCATAGTAAACCACAGTCGGGAGCACTTTTGAGATATCTCAAAATGCTCGCAATAGCATCCCAATTAAAAGTTTGAAGAGCATCTAAAACTGACTCACAAAAACTTATTGGAGAAGAGATGCCTGATCTTGTAACAATCAAATAATTCAGCTTACCAACCAATCTTCAATGTCACCCTGAATCTGCTAACAACTCACATCAATATGTATTCAACTAGGTGTTGCGGTCCATAAGAGAGTCTATAAGTTTAAACCACAACATCCTTTATTTACTTAACAAGTCAAGAACATCTTTTCTTTCAAATAGAGAGATTCCATGACATAACCTAGCCACTTCAATGTCCAAAAATTTCTTAATTGTCCTAGATCTTTGGTATGGAACTCATTCTGCAGAAAGTATTTTAGTTCCAAAATACCACTACAATTATCACCAGTAATCACAACCCCTTGCATGATCTGCTCTGGATTCCACAGCATTGCCAGAGTAGACAACAAGAACCATAACATTCATAAAGTAGTCATTAATTAATTGTAATATAAAGAACTAAGAAAAATAATACAAAATAAGCCTTTAAAAAAATTGTCATTGCAGCAGATAAAATTTCAGGTCTTACCCTCAGTATGCATCATTTCAGCAGAGTACTCAAAAAGGGCTCTAGCTTTTTCTAAGCATATTTCTGCATCCTTCCAATGTGAAAGGCTGGAGTATAAGTTTGCAAGACCATGCCAAACTTCAAATTCATTGACTTTATCATCCTCAATCTATAATTAAAAAATAAATAAATAAATAAATAAATAATTAGCAATCCAAATGTAATTTATCAAATATGAAATGAAAATTCTTGGTGAAGTTTATGTTTAAAATTTCTACTTATGTTTAAAAAAAATTTGAAAACTAGAAATAAAAACTTGTTTGATATCTATTTTTGTTTCAAAAAAAATAGAAACAGATTTCAAAATTTACAAAAGTCTAGCATGCAAAAAAAAGGTGTTTTTCCCTTGTTTTGTAAACAATTTTTCAATCCCACCTCTCCTCCTCGACCTCTGAGCACCACCTCCGGCCACCCATACTTTTGGCCACCACCGCCAACAACCACCTCTGGCCAGTCCCCCCTACTCTGGCCACCTCCAACCACCTCCACACAAGTCCCCACCTCTTCCAACCTCCAACAACCACCCCTAGCCATCACCTCCCACCAGTGCAATGACCCTCTACGGCCACCCCCCTCACTTGTTTTCAAAACAATATTTTGAAAAAGTGTACCAAACATTTGTTTGTATTCATTTTTTGGCAAAAAGAGAGATAAAGATGCCTCATGTTTTTTTATAAACAACAAATTGTAAATATTACCAAACTCAAATAATGATCAAGCTAGAGGTAAGTATACCAAACCCAACCAAGAACTTTCAAATCAATACACAAGCAATAAGTAAAAAAGAAATTTCAAGTATCCATTAGTCGTAGCAAATTCCTGTGCAGGTCAATCTATATTTAAAGCAAATCCCACCCTCCTACATCTACACATAGCAAAACCACATCTTCAATTTCTTTCCAAAAGACAGCCCCATAATACCACATACTAGTGTAATAATTATATGGCAATGTCAGTAGTACATGAAAGGTAGTAAGGTTCTAGAAGGAAGAAAATGATGCAATAACCAATGAGCACCCCTAAGGATCAAGAAATCAACACCAAAACCATACCACTATCACAAACATCAAAACCATTAATATAGCTTTTTGCACCAATTTCTTTCAAATTTACCCCCCTAACAAAAACATCACTTTCACTTTGTGTCCCTTCCATTCAACCAACATGATCAGTCTGTGCCAACATATCCAGCATGGCAGTTGGTTTAAGAACTTTATGCCATCACTGATATACAATATTCATTGGCATGATCACTGTTATTACTGGACCAGAAAAGTGAAAATCACATTATAACTCCATTTTCCTTCATATGGCAATGCAAAGAAGGCCACACTGTTCAATCCTTCTCATGAGAAGGCTGCACCTAACCTCCTTGCAGCAGTTTCTGTCGCTGACCACTGCATATTTTTCAATTGGCTGCCATTTGAATGGCAGTCCCCATGTGCAAGACTCCAGCCATTTTGGGATCTAGGGAGGGTCAGATGTATGCACCGTTAGCTCCACGCAAGAAGAGGTTGTTTCCATGATTTGAACACATGACACCTAGTCGCCATGGATCAACCTTACCGCTACACCAAGGCCCGCCATTGTATGGAAAAAAAATTGAAAAGATGGAAATGCATTTCACCATTATCTGATTTTAGACCACATTTGCAGTAGATTATACATGCTTTGTAAGGCTAAGCAAAAAACCATACAAAAATCGTAAACCGTTCTTCGGTTTGGTTTGGTATTCTCAATGCACAACTCGGTCCTAATCTTAAAATAGGTGAACTGTACTTAGGAATTCGGTCCACCTTCCATTTTTCCGCCAGTACTGACATTAGCCTTGTGGATGAATTACACAAGGACCAAGCCTAAGGCTCCCAACTCAAACATTCCGTTTGGTACTACTATGTGGGTGTTTGGGAAGTAGGTTTTTATGTAGGTTTTTTTAGTTGTAGGATATTATTGGATAAAAAAAAAAATTGTGTTTGGGAAGATAGTTGGGTTTTTTTATGGTTGGATGTGATGTTTGTGAGAGAAAAAGTGAAATAATTATGGGGTTGGATGTGATATTTTGTTTGGATTTGTTTTTCTTTTTGTTTTGCAAAAACTTCGTCTTTTAGTGAAAAAAATCAAAAAAAAAACCAAACCCAAAACTTGCCAAACACCGCCACTGTTTTAAATGCATGATGAGACACATACACTGTTTTAAATGCATATATATTCACAAGAGACTTATTAAATTGTTAAATCACCTTAAATTTATGATTTGATGAGTCCGACCTCTAGATACATACCCGCACCCGACACCCGTACCCGAGTCCATGTAACATAGCCATTATATGTATCATAAAAAAAGCAATAAAATGGTTTGGTGGGCCAGTTTCCATATGGTAATATCACAAGATCATAAAATTGGCATCATCAGATTTGTCACACGACTGGTTACGATAAAATAGATGGAAGTTGCTACATTCTGGTGAGATCCAAAATTACATTTTTCCTATCAAAACGTAGGGAATCAATATGTAAGAATAGAAAAGCAGAATCTAACCTGAGGCAGACTTCGGAGAGGCCCAAATGATTTCCTCTGGGCTTGAACCAATGCCAGGAGATAGCGATAAGTTTCAATTGCATCCATGGGTAATGACTGGGCAATTTTCAACTTTGCTTTCATCCTAAGCAGTGGTCCTTGCTCCCATTTTGAAGTCTCATCTAAAGCAGCATCAGTGACCACTTCAGCCTCTGAAAATCGTTGCTGAGCAGACAAAACCAAGGCAAGCAATCTCCAACCTTTTAGTATGGATCCACCTGTCGCATCAATGAACTGCGTGGAATAGTGCAAAGCTGCATTCAAATTCCGGTGCTCTGCATAATGGACTCCCAACTCAAAAATCAGGTCAGAGTTGTTACACTCGAGATCAATTGCGCCATCTAATGATTTTAATGCTTCAGACTGAAGATGAGACCTCTCAAAGTCTGAAGAAGAGACTTTGGATTGCTTCCCCAAACAAAGACCTAACATGCGAAGGCCAACACCTTTTAGGTGTTCATTTACCCCCAACGCATTCACAATAGCCCTTTGTGCATATCCCATGCCCTCAACAGCAAGAAGGGTATCCTCACTGCAGATTTTGGCAGCCAACAACAAACATGTTAGATCATCTGGTTTTTCATGATTGTGTAGAGACTTCCTCAATAGATTCAAGGCAACCTTATTTAGTCCTGCTCCACTATAGCAAAATGCCATCACTTTCCAACGGTCGACACGATGAAAGACACCAGGCATGGCCTTTTCAAGTTGTTTCGCTAGAACAGAAGTCTGGCTGCACAAAGACAGCAAATGTGAGGTGCTCCACCACTGATGGATCCCATTCAATCTTACCAAGGTATGACTTCCTCATAAGAATCATCAGAAGTAGAATTGCCTCTTCCAGATTGTTTCTAGGTACATATGATCCATCAATTTGAACAGCTAGACTAGGTGGGCCAGCCTCCACTCCACCGTACAGCAAAAACATGGCAAATCCCTTCTGAATCCTTGCACAGCAGTTATTTTCAAGGTTCCATTGACTAAGGAGGGCTCGTCGGTAAGCGAACATTGCTTCATGATCGCAACCAGCCTGCTTCCAGAGCTCTGGAAGAAGCTCTACAGCATAGCAAACTGTCTCTTGCAACTTGTTGTCCACTAGCACATCTGGTATACCATGATAGAATATCTTCTCCACAGCATCAAGAACACTTTTACACTCATGAGCAGCCTCTGCAAAACCAAACCAAAAGAAAGTTTTGTAGCTAATTACATACAATAAAAGGAAGAGATGGGATCAGAAGAGAACCAAAAGGAAAGTCAATCTCCCCAGGAAATTAATACTCTAGTGAAAAAGCTCCATACCAGTTACTCTACCAAGCTTTTGAAGAGACTTGGCTTTTAAATATATAGCCTCAAGTACCAGGCTAGCAGCATGCTGCGAGATTGTGTGTGTTGAATCAGTGCGCAAACGGCCCTTCTTTGAGGACTGTCTGTGAGCAAGGGGTTGCAACCTCTGTATAGCTGCTTGAAGATCAATACCGTCAAACACACGAAGAGCGCCTTCCACATTTCCCCTTTGATATTCCAGCCTTCCAAGAAGGGCTCGTGCTTCCTGTAATGTTTTTAATAAATGAAACCATAAAGCAACACATTTTATACACACCTTCAAATTTTATCTAGCAAAGCAAATTGGTGGAAGACAAATATCAATACAGAATTTTCATCAATTGCATATTGACTACTATCCTTTCGTATAATTTTCTTGGCTCCAGTCCTTACAAGAAACGTTTCAATCTAGCAAGGTATTTATTTACAAACAAATGATGTACTTTTAAACCTTAATGCCCCCAATAATGAAGTCATTCTTGGAGGTTTTTTTAATTTCTTCCTTTCTTTCAAAGGTACCACAAGGAAAAAAAAAAAATTCCACAGGAGTACCGATTGAATGATAAGTGAAGACATACTGAACTTAAGATCAAGAAGAAAACTTAAGCCAGGTTAGGGAAAATTGGCGAGACAAGACAATAATCGGGTAACCAAGCCTAAAAAGTTGAATGGTGCTTACATAAATAAGATGACCTGTTAAGGTGTGAAAAAAAGTAATCTGGTTAATTTGGATCATTATAGTACTTCTAAAACTAGAATGCAGGTTGCTAACGAATCCCCTCATACTAAAAGTTATAATGGATGTTACATCCCAAAAGTTACTCGCACTTGACGCGGTAGGAGTGTCAAGTGCAAGTGCGTACCTCTAGGTCAGGCCCATCAAATCTCCAATTGAATGATAAGCAGGCTCAGCATAAAAAGATTTTATTTTTTATATTTTTAATTTATTTTCAGGGATTAACAGGTGTTTCATGTAACATATATTGTCAAAAAGACACTTCATTTTATGGTAATTATGCAACAAAAGAAACATATAATAACAGTGTTGTTATAAGCAATTCTATAACAAAAAAATTGAATGGTTATAAGAACCCGTTGCTAACGAATCCCCTCATACTAAAAGTTATAATGGATGTTACATCCCAAAAGTTACTCGCACTTGACGCGGTAGGAGTGTCAAGTGCAAGTGCGTACCTCTAGGTCAGGCCCATCAAATCTCCAATTGAATGATAAGCAGGCTCAGCATAAAAAGATTTTATTTTTTATATTTTTAATTTATTTTCAGGGATTAACAGGCGTTTCATGTAACATATATTGTCAAAAAGACACTTCATTTTATGGTAATTATGCAACAAAAGAAACATAAAATAACAGTGTTGTTATAAGCAATTCTATAACAAAAAAAATTGAATGGTTATAAGAACCCAAATCGTGCATTCAAAATAAGCCAAATATTCAAAATCTGGACCTCTGATTATCACTCCATCCAAGTTTTTTCTTCTTTTTTCTTTTTTTTTTTTTTTTGCAATGGTAAACAGAACAGTACTTACTAATCAAAGAGGTAAATGATAAATGTAACGAAATGGTGTGAGGAATTGTGTTTAGCATACAAGTAAAAGAAAGAAAGAAAGAAAGACAGAAAGAAGGAAGATTTAAGTATTGAGAATGTAGAAGAAAGTAGAAAGATGAAAGTGAAAATTGAACCTCGAAATTGAGGGATAAACCCTCCCGCAATGAAGATTCAGCCTCATGGATATTTCCTTGGTCGAGCTTTGCTTCGACTTTGGTAGTTTTCATGCAGAGTCCATTACCACACACTTCTCGAACCTCCTCCATTCTCTCCTCCTCAAGCTCCCTCCTTCCTTCTCAGGATTCCATTTCTCAACTCTCTTCTCTTTTCTTTCTTTATCAATTTCATTCTCATTTTATTGTACTACTATATCAAAACTCAAAAACATTAGGGTTCATTACACTCGCACATTTGGAAAACACATAGTTAATAACTCACTGAAATAAAATTTCACAATCAAATATATACTGACAATTTTTTTGTGATTCTTTGGCAAATATGAAATTTTAAAAAAAATAATAATAATAATTTATAGCTAAAAGTAAAGGAAAAGAGCTGACAAAATTAATAATTCAGAAGAATAAGATTCCCCCTAATTTTTTCTAATTTGTTATGAAAATTTGACTCTCAGGGGGTAATTTGTAATTTCTCAAACCTCAGGAGGGAATTTGTATTTTCACCAAACCTCGAGGGGGGTGTTTGTAATTTGCCCTTCTTTCTTTATCAATTTCATTCTCATTTTATTGTACTACTATATCAAAACTCAAAAACATTAGGGTTCATTACACTCGCACATTTGGAAAACACATAGTTAATAATTCACTGAAATAAAATTTCACAATCAAATATATACTGACAATTTTTTTGTGATTCTTTGGCAAATATGAAATTTTAAAAAAAATAATAATAATAATTTATAGCTAAAAGTAAAGGAAAAGAGCTGACAAAATTAATAATTCAGAAGAATAAAGTGAAAAGTGAAATTTCATAGAAATTTTTACTATCATGGTAAAATTTCCCAAACTGAATTGTTTTGCACAAAAGGAGAAATGGGAAGAGAATATGAATAGAGAGAGAGAGCAATAATAAAATTAAATTATGAGACAAATTTCACGATTATTCAATAACATACATACATATAATTACATATATTTCTATACATGATGTATGTAAGTGACAGACAAAAAATAAAAAAGCATACTAATGTATGGTAGGACAAAGCCAATGGTAGCATTGTAGGCCACGAGGGAGGTAATGGTTGCGCTGACAATGAGTGGAAGAAGACTAACGACGAGTAACATAGCAACAAAGAAGAGAGAGAGGCAACACACCGAGGAAAAACCTATTGAAAATTTAGGTTTTGGGGGTTATAAGGTCATTTTTTACCATATTTATTAAAATTTATTCTTACTCTTCTAAAATTTTAAACCCTATGAAGTTTAACTAACATGTAAATATTCGATGTTCTTAAACTCTAACAACATATAGAAGGATGTATCTCCAATTTTTTCTAATTTAAATACAACACACCAAATAATTTGATTTAATTAAAATACAATTCTTACAAAATTATAAGACCCAAATTACCCAATCACATACCCATCTTGATTGTGGTTGTAATATTGGTAAAATAGATGGAACGGAATGCATGTTGGATAACCAAAAGAAAATGGTGTTAATGACGTCAATAAAAGCGAGGTATGCATGATGAAGGCGACGATGTATAGAAGTACTTAAGAAAGAGCGCGTAATCTGCATTTTTAGAGATAATGACGATTGAAGAGGTAGAGTGACAATGAAGGGACACGGAGAAAAAAAAATAGAAAACAAGAAAAATAAATGAATGTCTTTGTAGACAGAAAAAGGAATAGAAGTGTAGTAGATGGAGAAAGTTATATGTTTGAAGGGTAAAAATCTTAAAAGAATATAAAATTTGCTTCGCACTCCATACTTCCTTATTAGACTTGCGCAATTTGAACTTCTAATTTTTTGCTCAATTCACAAGTCAAAACTCCAAAAGCCCTTCCATACTTATCTTAGAAACCCTAACGTCATACCCTTTCTCATCGCATTGGCCATCCAATTGGCAACATCATTACCACGACTCTCCATCTATCTCCAACTTCTCCCCAACTAACATTATTCTGTCCCTCACTTTTATCCACCACCACGACATCCCTAGCCCCCATTCCTCTAGACTCTAATAACCTCAACCTTGCTTCTTCCAATTCAAAGTCGTTGCCCTTCCTCATTTCAGACATCACCACCTTATACCTTTCACTTTTCCCTCCTTATGTAGCCCCATTTTTTCCATCTTCAGTGCTTTATCTGTCACACTTTTTGCCTTATTTGCTATTTTTGTCTTAGACCATATAGAGACAAATGTGTTACTTTTTCTCAGTTTTACTATCAAACTCTAGTAATTGGTTCAACCATGAATATTCAAATGACTATTTTTAGGATTTCATGGTGACTAATTAGGTTGTGGTAGACGAGAGTTCTTATTTTGTGGTGTCTAGTTAAATAGTAGTGGAGAGAGGTTCTGTTGGCTACATATTTTGTATAAGCCAATTACAATTCAACGCGTGACAGAATAAGGGTAATACAGGAAGACTATTCAAGTCTTCAATCGTGATCGTACACATGGCAGTTAGTATTGGTTATTACGAGATCTGAGTAGCATTGGATCAGCAAGGAGATGCAAAGTGATGTGGCTTCAACGGTTACTCACATTCAAATTCAAAATTAAGAGGGAAGCCTAACTGCAAGTGATGGCATAATGGAGCTAATTATAAGGCAACATGATCAGCGATCATGGAGGAGCAGTTTTACGGTTGGAAGTACAGTTCGATGGTCATCCTTGAGAAGTATAAATAGCAGAGAAGGCCCCAGAAAAATTCCCCAGACTCAAATCCAAAAAAACCAGTTTTATTCTACTTCATTTTTCTTTTCAGTTTTTACATTTCCTGTTCTTTACATTTCTGTACTTTAATTCCTGCACTGCACTTCGTTCGTAAAAGTAGTTTCAAGTAGATTGTTGCTGTAAACCTCTACGAGGCTAAATTGGATCATTGTAAGTTTTCATTTTAATGAAATGCTTCAATTGCTCTTCATTGGATTGTCATTTGCTTAATTCTCCTAAATCAAGCCACCAGTAAAAGTCTTCTTCATTGAGGCTGAAAGAACTAAAACACAATCGTCTGATAATTGGTTGGCAATTAATTTTCTGTAAGGACTGGTTGATTCTTGCTAGCACGCTCGCAATTACAATAATAACCTTCGAAGGCCAAAAAAGCCAACAGCTTCAAATGTAGAAAAAGAGTAAAACCCTAAAATGATTTTATCAAAATCCTACAGCATCAAAAATAAAAAAGGCGTGGAAGGAGAGGTAGAAATACCTAATTCAGAGGATAATGTGATAACACATCTTGTGGAAACACCTATTTTATCAGAACTTATGGTTGAACAGACCAGCACTTCGAAACAAGTATCACATGTTCATAATATTGGACGAAGCCAAGGAATTGAACCATCCACTGTTCCATCTACACAGCCAATGAATCCATGGGGAGCCTAGTAGATGCCATGGGACAGCAATTAATGAACACAATGGAGAGATGGGCAACATCCTTTTTAGATTGAATGAATACCCATCAACCAACAGACACAAGACATATGGAGGAAGTTTCAAATGTCCTTCAACAAAGATTGGCTAGAGATAAACAGCCTATGCAAATTAATGGACATTCCAATGGTCAAACTAGTAGTCAAAACTATGAAAGTCCATCACCTCAGTCTTGGTATGAACCTATTTCGAGGCCTATGGCAGGTCAAAATGTCTCAGTATTTAACAGTGAAGCCATGCAAACTGGTGGATCTGGCCCAGGACAAGAAAATGGCATAAGAATGGTTCCAAATTCCATGTTCGAAGCCATACCTGGCACAAGGGGGTTCACTAATCCCTTATTCAAATTTATACCTGGGGGATTGGAAGGTTTTCCTACAAATGGAAAAGACACAACACCTATTCCAGCACCTTTCGCAGGATAGGCTCAAAAGGGTTACCCACACCCCCAACAGCAATCGGCACCACAGGGACAACCAATCCCAAATATACCACCTTATGGGCCAAGAGGACCACATGCACAAGGTTGTCCACCAAATCTTGTGTTTGTTCCTCTAGTAGTGGTTTAACAAGCACAAAATATTGTCCCTAGGGACCAAATTGATGATATTGTTAGAGAGATGTGTGGACCAATGGCTCGGGGGGTTCAAACTCCTGTGTACAGGAAACCATATCCAAAATGGGTGGATAGGGTACATGAGTATCCAAGAGGATTTAGGATACCAGATTTTGCCATTTTTTATGGGAATGGAAACCAGTCAACAGTGGAGCATGTTGCTAGGTTTACTGCTTAATGTGGTGAATTTACCAATAATGATTACATGAAGTTAAGATTGTTTCCAAATTCTCTTACAGGGGAGCCTTCATATGGTATATTAACCTTACGCCTGGCTCCATTCAGACTTGACAACAAATGAAAGAGGCATTTCATGCCCAATTCTTCCAAACGGAGCTAGAAGTGTCCATGGCAGATTTAGCAAGGTTAAGCCAAAGGCCAGATGAAAAGGCTGCTCAATTTATTGCCAGATTTAAAAGAGCACAAAACAAATGCAGGGTCATCCTACCAGAGCCAGAATTCGTGAGATTGGCTCAAAATGTCTTAGAGTTTAGGTTTCGAAAGAAGTTTGACTCAACTGAGTTTAGAGACTTGGTTGAACTAACTTATAAGGTGTCTAGGTATGAAGCATTACTAGAGGAAGAACAAGATCGAAATAATGCATCATACAAGACATATTATAGAGATCCTAATTATGAGATTGATGCAACAGAGATTGTGGGGAAAGAACCTATGATCTGTAAGGCATTAAATCATAAAGACACAATAATTGACCAGTAATTTAAAAAGAAAGACCTTCATAGGAAATACTCTTTCGATTTAACAAAGGCAGATGATATTTTTGATCGTTTGCTTACTGCAAATTTCCTGAAGTTGCCAAAATGAGTCACAATTTCATCTCCAGAGGAACTTAAAGGGAAAGTGTACTGTAAATGGCATAATTCTTGGTTTCACTCAACTAAAAATTGCATTGTTTTTCGAGACAAGATCCAAGAGTAGATTCGAAAAGGAAGTCTAAAATTCCCAGCTAAAACAGAAAAGGCCATAGGGATTGACACTAATCCGTTCCCAGAAATCGGAGAAGTGGCAGCCAATGTTGTTGTGCCAAACCTCCAGAACTTGTCCTTGAAAAAATTAGAAGAAGTCAATGTGCAGATGCATGTTGCCATCCAGACAACTGTCAAGAAAGACACTGGAGATCTACCAGTTATTAGTCAAAGTTTCTCAGACCAGAGGGAACACTCTGATGAAGAAGCACTGGATGACGATTCTTTGGAGGCAGTTGTTATGCAAAGAATGTGTCCCAGATGCAGGCTGAGCTACAAGTGGTTGAAAGGGCTTCCGATTGATGGGAAGCAATATTACAAGGATGTGCAGATGCATCCTAAACCAACCGGTGCTTACAACAAAAGGCCATATCTAACTAGTAGTAAGCAGCAGCCATTAATGGTTGAGCCAACGGCTGCTAGAATGCATTCTAAAGGCAAGAGGCCTTTGTATGAGTCCAGACCACCTAATCATTATAGAATGGAGAACGGTTATCATGAAAGGAGACCGGAGAAGGATTCAATTTATGGGGTCAAAGCTAGAGATTGACCTCCTAGACCAGCCTCATGCAAGACAGAAAGTGGCCACCTTCATCGAAGGCCTGAGTTAGGCCCAAAGCAGGGAGTTAGGGCCAAGTAGTGGCCTTCACAGCCAGCTTCGAAAATGGCTTCGAAGGAGGAGGGAAACAGTTCAACAGCTGGATCAATAGGTTCGTGGGTACTTGGAGTTCCAGATTGGTTTGTCATGCAAAACAAACCTAGGGAGATGTCTACCCAAAGGAATGTTGTTGGAAACCAAGGCAGGATGGTCAAACCTCCTTTGGTGGCTCCAAACAATTGGGTATTGCTTAAGCATCCAAAAATAAAATAACCGAACATGGTCCCAGTGATTTCTAGGTCCCAAAGAAGGAAGATCCAACGAAGGTACACACAGTACCAGAAGGACCTGAAAGAAAGTGGAGAGTGCTCTTCATTGGTCCAACCAAAGAGCCAAGCAGAAATGGAAGAAAATTCAAAGCTAAATCATGATCCAAAATCAACCTTTCAAGACAAAAGGGGATGCAGCAGAGAACAATTGGCCAAAGTTCACTCTAAACTAAAAGCCAAAGAAAAGACCAGTTTGGCAGGATTGAAAAAGGCCCTAATGGAGAATGACAGTGAAATAGAGGAAGAAGTTGGCCTAGGCCAAAGAAAAGAAATGGTGGAGGAAGAAATGTTCGAAGCCTTCATGGCTGAACAGACTTTTTTGGTTAAAAAACCGGTAGAGACAGTCCATTCGAAAACAGCTATTGGTACTGAAGTGCCAGAATGCAGTATGGAAGATGTTTCTAAAGCAGCTGAACAAGTCAACCAGGAAATGGAGCAGGTACAGCCAGTCGGCCAATTTGGCTCATTTCCTCCTGTCTCGGTGAATATGGTGCTCATGTTACCACAGGAGTTTCAAGCTGAAGATGACAACCAAGGTCAGGAGATTGACCCAATCCGGTTTCTAGTGAAGACTCGCTAATGAGTATGGTACAAGACGAATCTGAATTGGCCACACCAATGGAAACTGAAGGTGAGAGTGAGGAAGAGGTCAATATTAACCTCTCATACCCTTTGAAATTCCTTACAATGTCCATGACTCAGTATGTCAAGCCTTTGTATATCAAGGTTTTCTTTGATAGAGTACAGATGAATCGGGTATTGGTGGATAATGGGACAGCAGTAAACTTGCTTCCAAAATCTTCGTTGAAGAAACTAGGAAAGAAGAACCCCAGACTAATCCCAACTAGCACTGCCACTGCTGGCTTCGCTAGTGATAAACAGATGGCCCAAGGTATTTTGCCCATCAACCTGAGTGTGGGAACCAGGGACTGCATGACAACATTCTTCGTTATCGACAGCAATGCTACGTGTAATGCTTTACTTGGAAGAGATTGGATTCACACAAACAAATGTGTGTCTTCCTCTTTACATCAAAAAATCATGATGGCTTTGGGCAATGGAGAGACAGAGGAGATCAATGCAGATCCTTAACCCTTC